CACATGGTTTACTATGCTGGTAATGATAAACTAAAGAGGATTGGCATCACATTCATCATCAAAAAGAACATTTCAAGATCTGTCTTGAATTATTACAACGCTGTCTGTGATTGGATAATATCTACACATCTACAAGGAAGACCAGTTAATACCACTATTATTCAAATATGCATACCAACCACTAAAGCTGTTGATAATGAAATTGAAAAATTCTACCAACTTCTTCTGTAGGAAATTGATCAAACATATTATCAAGATGTATTGATAATTACTGGCGATTGGAATGCAAAAGTTGGAAACAACGAGGAAGGATCAGTAGTTGGAAAATATGGCCTTGGTGATAGAAGTGATGCTGGAGATTACATGATAGAATTTTGTAAGACCAATGATTTGTTCATTACAAATACCTTTTTTAAACAACATGAAAGATGACTCTACACATGGACCTCACCAGATGGAATACACAGAAATCAAATTAACTACATCTGTGGAAAGAAGCAGTGGAAAAGCTCCATATCATCATCCAGAACAAGGCCAGCGTTAGACTACAGAACAGACAATCAATCAATCGCTCATATGCAAGTTCAGACTCAAGCTGAAAAAAATCAAAACAAGTCCACGAGAGCCAAAATGTGACCTTGGACATATACCCCCTGAATTTAGAAATCATCTCAAGAAAAGAGTTGATGCATTAGACACCAAACACCAGAAAAGTTGTGGGATGACATCAAGAACATCATTCAGGAAGAAAGCAAAAAGTCATTAAGAAGACAAGAAGGAAGGAAAAGACCAAAATGGATGTCAAAAGAGACTCTGAAACATGCTCTCCAGCGTAGAGATTCTAAAGCAAATGGAAGAAATGAGGTGATAAAAGAACTGAATACAACATTTCAAAGGTCAGCTAGAGAAGACGTCAATATTAAAACAAAATGTGCAAAGAACTGGAGTTAGAAAACCAAAAGGAAAGAACATGCTCAGCATTTCTTAAGCTGAGGAAACTGAAGAAGAAATTCAAGCCTTGATCTCCAGAGATGAGAAAGCTCCACTTGAAAGGACGAGCAGACCAGCC